CAGCTACACTATAATGAAGTTGTTATAGATGCCACAAATAAGAGTGACCATTTATACTCAACTTTTTATACAAGATTGAGCAAAATCTGATTTTGCTAATAATAGACTAAATAAAATTAGGTTTTTATAAATAATGAATTCACAATTAATTTAGCATCTTCAGAGGTTAGAAACAAGATTCTGTCGTTCAGAGGTTAGAAACATTAACGTTGTGTTGTAATTTTACTTTTAATATTTAAATTTCAGTTTTTATAACGCTTACAAAAATATTTGTTTTTAAATTATTTTGATATTTTAAAGTATGAAATATGAAATTATAATCACATACAACATGAAAGAAACTTAAACATTGAAACAAAAATCACTTAAATTTTTAAATTAATTTTACTTTCATTTTTCTTAAAGAACAAGAATTCTATTAATTTTCCTCGCCACACCAACTCTACATAACCACAATTTTTAATAGAGTTTGAAATCAAAATTCAAAAAATATCACAAACACATTCATAATTATTAAAGTACCGTTTCCAATGTTGAAATAGGAAAAAATATAAACAAAACTAATGCGACATAACTGCAATAAACAAAAATAATAATAAAAGAGCTACACAACTTCAATAACAAAAATATTGAAAACAAAAAGAAAATATATATAGAATATAGAAAAGGTAGCAGCAATAATAAAATAAGCAACTTACCATCTTCAACATCACAATTACAAATACTATATGAAAATTTTGTTCTTAGAGACCTTTTTCATAGGTACTTTTGATTTCTGTGTGCATTTTTATTTTCCATATAAAAAAACAAGAAATTAATACTACTAGGTGTACTCACCACACTACACCATTTTTCTCATACTCTTTTAATATTTTCATGTTTTAAAAAAGAAACGGTATGAATTGCAGCTTAAGAGTAGGTGCATTAAATAAAGCAACTAAAATATTGAAGAAAAAAAAAATATTTATGTAGCAACAATATAATCAACATTCGCAACATAATGTGACGCTTTCTTGTAGCGTCATATTATCTCAAAAACCAAATTCAACAGCAACAACAAAATAAATAATACCATATGAGAAAAAAATATTTTGATTTTAAATTTAGTTCTTCAGTAACCACGCTTCGGTGAAGTTTTACTAACGGTAAAGAAAAATTTTGTAAATGCAATAAAATAATTTCAGTGATAAAATTTCGTTATTTCTTTCTTGTAAACTTTATATTAACGTACATACATACAAATTTAATTTTCTAGAAATATATAAATAACATGATCTTTTGGTGTTTCTAAATCAATACGTTTATCAATATCAATCAAATACGAAATAAATTAGAAATGTAAACTGACATTTATGACGTGCATGTTTCCGAATCAAAGTTTAAATTACTTTGTTTTAATTTTTTGATAATAACTATTAAAAATATTTAATCAGTAATAATAACAACACAAATAAAAAAAACTGAGTTTTCATTTAAATTTTACAAGTGAATTTTAAAATCAACAATAAATAATTTTTCAATATTTAATTTGCTAAATCAAAAAAAAATTGATTAAATTTCAATAAGGTACAATAATAAAATAATTAAAAAAAGTATGAAATTTTAAATTCATTCACAATAATTTTTATAATTAAAATAATTCACAATAAATTTTAATTTTAATTATAATTGCATTTCTTTTTGGTTTTAATTATTATTTTATGTTAAATGCTTAATGTAATGATTATCATATAATTAAGAGAAGACTTTCACCTGTCTGCTCTTGATATTTGTGTAAAAAATTTTCATTTTATTTGTTTGTTTTTTTTCTCTCTTATCATTATATTAATCATATAATTAATTAATAATACCGGAAAAAAATTAATATTTTAATATCGTTATTTAAAAGAAAATAAACTCAAATTATAAGACATACTCAACTCACTCTTATACATTTCTTATTTATATATGAACACAACTCTATGACATTTGAAATTATAATATAGCGATTATAATTAGCTTAATAATGATAATATTTAGATTGATGTCCGAATATTTTTTGAACAAATTAATTTTTTTTTGAAATATATTTCTTGTCCATTTTGTTAAAATATCAAATTTAATCTTATTTTCTCTCTTATTTTTTTCTATTTTTATGTATATATATATGTTATAATAAATGTAAAACTTTATTTTTCTTTATATAATAGTAGATTTTTTCACTCTTCTCTATTATATTGTAGTTTTGTGTAAACATATTATAAAAGGAAGCCGACAACAAACTGAAATATTTTAACTAAATGATATGACAATAAAGGGCAATAAACAAAATTGTTGAAATATAAAACAAAAAAAAGCAAAGAAAAGAAAGCATTTCTTCTTTCATTTCTTTTTGCTAATTTGTTTTTGACTTAAGTTTCACATAACCTCAACTACAAATATTTTATATTCGTATTATGCTAAATTAAAACAGAGAAAAAACAAAAGGTAAATTAAAAGAAAAAAAATATTGAGAGAGATCACAAAAAATTTGTAAACATTTTTTATTGTTTTCTTTTATATACTTAATACTTTTGCATATACTTAAATACTTAAATAGTAATTTTTAAACAGTAGTTTAATTTTAATAAATTTTAGTAAAAAAAATTATTTCGTAATAAATAAGCAATTTTTTCTGCTTTTATTTCTCATTTCACTAATTTTACTCATAAAAATAATTTTCAAATAAAAAAAAATTGAGAGGAAACAAAAGATTTTTAAATAATTTCGAATATTTTTTTTTTTTTGGATTATAGTTTTACTACATGATAATCTGATAATATAGCAACATTTTTGTATTGTGTTTTTATCAAAAATATTAGAATATTAAAACAATTTATAAAAATGTTATATTTTATTTTTTATTAATAAAAAAAAAAATTATCAAAAACGATTATTTTTATAGATAACATGAGTTTATATTTGAATTTTTATTCAAATATAAAATTATTATAGCGTTTTCTATTGTGATAATTTTTTTTAATAAAAATTTTTAAATATCTTAAAGTTTTGTTGCAAGGGATTGAATTTCAGGATGTAGTTTTTGACATATGATACGTAAACTATTGTTATTAAGTAATATTTAGGCTATAAATTTATTTCTTTTGTCTCAGATTTTTTACCCCGGTATAAGTATACTTTCTTATTCCATGAATATTTTGATATTTTGCACTTGGATTCCATTTCTATAAGGTTTTAAACTTCAGAAACTTCCGCCAATTTCTTATACAATAGAGGTTTTGTCTATAGGAGATAGAAACAACGTTCAAAATTAACAAAGAATCTTTTACAACATTGAAATATAAAAGTTTTTGCATTATCTAGGGTCATCACGTACGGTAGCTATTTAAAAATGAGTAAAAATAAACATTTAAATACACCTAATAAAATACATATTTACGTTTAAATTATTGAGGTTCGTTCTGTTTGGGTTTAACTGTATAATATAATAATTTATATTAAATAAAGCAGTTTAAAAGTCATTATTTAGGTAGGTATAGGTATAGGGTACTTATTCCAAAGAAATAATTTATTGAAAACAAATAATATAGTTAGGTACTCTGTTTCCCTCTCTTTCTCTCTCTCATTTACATTTCTCTTTGTATAATCAGATGTTAAATTTTCTTATCAAATAATATGTTTTTGTATTCAAAATAAATTCATTATTATTGTTGTATGCAGTATTAACACATTCATTTATACAATTAGCCTATTTTAGTGTTCTGTTTTAATTAAAGACTCTTCTTATGCATAAAGCTCATATGAATAAATAAAAATTAAAATAATATACTTATTGATTTTAATTCCATACTTAATAAATATTTACGAAAATGATCTTTTAAATTTCTTACATTTGTATTATTTTAATTATTTATGTAGAGATTTAAACGTCATAGCAAATTAACTTTGTATCAGCTGTCAATAAATCAAAAATATTACTACTTTTTGACAATTTCAAAATCAATATTCGCGCAAAATTGAGTACAGTACAACTATTTACAATAAAAGAGAGATAACAAATAATATTTAATAAAAAAAAAAGAAAATCAAACATATATTCAAAATTGAAAAGAGTGAGAAAAATTTATTTTTAATATTCGAAATTGAATGCATATTTTTTAATATTAATAAATTTTATATCAACAACGACAATAAATAATTTTCATATGAAGTGTCAGAGATAATCTGGCGCCAAAATAATTAACGTACGTGTAACACCTCTCTGGCTATCCAATGTTTTATAAAATATAAAAGAGTTTTTAAAAGTTTTTATTTATTTTAATTAATACTGGAAAATTTAATTATAACTTTTGTGTTCTGTTTATATAAGAAATATTTTCTTTAATTTTGTTCAGTTTTTAATTTATGTAATAATTATTTAATATTGAAAAAGTGTTTATTTTTTTAAGTGTGTGCTCTTTTTTATAAGTAATTTATTTTTATATACAAGAAAAATTTAATATTCTTTATTTTTAATATTTCAAATTATACAGCTTTTCTGTTTTATATTCAAAATTTTTGTTAATATCGTAAATTAATTTTTAAAATTCTATAAGTTGTGAATCAAATTATTCATTTTACATTGTAATATCGAAAATAAATTATTAATTCCTTAAAAATTGTAAATTGGGCGATTAAAATGGAGAAAAAATTAAATTGAAAAATGTGAAAAATCTCAAATTATTTTTGCTTTAAAATTATTTATTTTAATTTTATAAAAGAATTTACAAAATTTTATAATTTAAATTTTAAAAATTGTGTTTAATAATTTTTTCAATTATTGTTTATGAAAAAATTTATGATTTAAATTGAAAATAAATTTTTGTTTTATTAAAAAAAAAATTTAAATTAATTTTTCGTTAAAGTTGTGTCTTTATTTATTTAATATTTTGATTTAAAAATAAATACAAAAATAATGATAATTTATTAAAATATATTTTTAAAAAATACACGATTTTTTTGTGCCTAACTAACAAATACAAATATATATGTAGGTATATGTGAAAAAAAAGAAAGAGGAAAGGAAAATTTATTTATCAAGGATAATTTTTTTCTTTCGCTCATTTTACAAAAACAAAAAATTCTTCGAGACAAAAATTAAATCAAAAAATAAAAAAATAAATTACCAGATTCGAAGGTTTTTTAAGGTTATTAACTATATTTACGTACGAATATTTACATATTATGTACATATATATATATTATTTTTTGGATAAGCGACATATTTAATGTATTGAAATATTATCCAGGTAAGTCAATTGCAACTAAACATTATTACATATGAATAATATGCCTATATACATAAAATCTTCAAAAAGAGTGGTCCATTTAAAATATTCTCTGTAGAAAAAACCTAAAAATATAAAAAAAATATTAGTAGACAAATATTAAAATTTTGATTTACAACATATTTAATAAATGAAAAACTTAAAATTACCTTCTGCACCTTAAAAGCTACTGAATTCATCAGGACCGTGAATATCGAGCGGGTGGTGTAGGGACATGCTCCGCACTCAGGGGTGAAACACAATGGATCCTTATACGCAATCACGTTGCATTAATACTCTGGTTCTAAATCTACAATCTACCTCTAAAACACTTCTGATTTTTGTAAAATATAGTAGAAATATGGAATTTGGTAACGATATCCATACAAACGGCCCATCCTTATAAAATATGACAATAAAATTTATGATAGCAATCAAAAAAATTTTCCACATAATACTAAAAAGCTATTAGTATGGCAAGATAGTATGATATCAAGCTAATATTCTCATAAATAGTGTATATGTGACATATTACCAGTTAACAGTTATGCTAAATTATACGTGTAACACATGCATAGGTAGATTATTAATATTTTTCAATGTAAACTAGAAAGATTTTTTTATAAAAAATTGAAGACGAATCTGTTAATATCTTGTCTGTCACTCTATATTTAATATGTACGTTTATGTATAATCTTTTACCTAAAAAATAAATATCCTTCACGATTTCTTAACATTTTTCAAGACAATATCATTATAATATATCTTATAAACTGAAGTTATTTAAATTAATTAATTGCTTCCACTTAATGCGACATTAACTATAATAGTTCTTCTTAATAATTAAACATTAACCCTAAAGCGCCAGATGCATAACATATTGATTCAAACTTTTGAAATTTTTTTTAACAAAGTATAGGAGTAAATATGTGGAAATTTCAAATTCCAACGTGATAAAATGGTGAAATTATGTTCAATATGGCTGAGCGCAATTATTTGAATTACTTTAGCAAATATTTTATACTACATTTACTCTTAATTTAAGATTTACAATAAATTACTTGCATTATGATTTATTTAATTTAAATTTTATAATTAATTCAAATTTAAATTGTCACCAGTGAAATTATTTCTTGTACTTAGCAACGTTATCGAATAACTTACAATTAATCAAAATGTTATGATCAATACTATCGTATAATAGAACTGACTTTCATTTTATAAACAACAATATTCAAGTATAGTTGAGTATAATTAATTAAATTTGTAATAAATATTTACTTTATCAAATACAGAAATCAAAATTTTTGAAATAATTTTGCTCCTTTTAGTTATTAACTTGTTTAAGGTGTGTTATAAACCTTAATGGTCAATTATAAAATAATGAACAATACTTTTACAATAATAAGAAATATATGTGAAATCCGGTATTTTTGATTATATTCTAAAATTGTCAATTCTAAAATGTACATTAGTTTTTGTATACACATTCAAATGTAAAATTAAAAAATTCTAGATAAAGTTTTCAAGTAATTATCGCCTAGATTCGTCAAGGCCATTTACTAACTAACAATATCTATAACATTTACCTTCACAGACCTTGAGGTGATTTTTAGTCTACATATGTACAAATGTACATAAACTTTCTTTAATTTTCATTTTTACCAACATATTTCAAGTTAATAATTAGAGTGTCTCTTTCATAAAATAAAATTGAGGTTTCTTCGCCCTCAACAACAACAACAAATTTTTATTATAAAACATCAGACATTTTAGAAAAATACAATGAAATATCATAAATCTAGTAAATAATATCATTTTATATTTCACTGATCATCAAAAAATAAATTTAAAGCTTAATTAAAGTTTTAACTCTTTTTCTTATACTTGAATACAGTCAACAATCTTTTAACCTTTAATTATACTTTCCAATTGTTCATTTTGTAAAAGATATTCCAAAAATACAATAATATTAATAATTAATTTAGTAATTTTCTAAGCAAGAAAAATAAAATACTAATTAAAAAAATCAGAGAAAAAAGTTAAATTCCCTTACTATCGTATAATAAAGAAACAAAATTGAATTAGCCTGAGGAATTAATTTTTTTATATATGTATATATGTATATATAAAAAGATAATTTACTTTTACATCAATTCATCACCACCCAAAGGCTATTTACCTCTCATCAAAGTTATTATTATTATTTTACTTATAATTTAATGATTTCAAATACGCTCATAAACTTTACAAATTTTTCGATTTCAGTACAAATTTTTTAAAAGTTTTTACTTTTTTCTATTTACAAAAAATTTTAGAAAAATTACAGTAATATTTTTAAACAGTAGATCTTGGAGTCTATTTGACCGACCTTACCCAACAATTTTAACATCATTCTCCTATTCAATACAATCAATTATATTTTGTTTTACTAAGAAACTCAATGCAAAAAATTCCCTACCAAATAACTAAAAATAAAATATACTTATGCCATTTTCATTCAAAATTACAAAATACTTCATTCCAAAATGAAAAACTTTTTGTAAAATTATTCCGGTAGATGTCGCTGTGGTATATATTATACCCTTATTACTCTACTTCCAGTTCCAAACCACGTACAATGCAAATTTTTGACGAAAGTTCTAAAATTATAAAAAAGAATTAATATTTGGCATTATAAGACAACCAGCATACTTACCTTAATTCAATTAAAAGTGCACAAATTGCAAATTATTATAAGCAATACGGGACAGGCGACTCTTACAGTAATCTTACATACTTTAGTTTTGAATTGGTTCCAAATACTATAAGTATATAGCTCGCCATAACTTTCGCTAGGATTAAACTGGTTAAAATATTTATCTGAATCTAATATTTAGCCATTTTTGTAAACCATTATACACATTACAATATTAAAACAAATTAACTTGATGATCTCGGCATTAAAGCAAAGCAAAAAAAACATTTGTGTATTTTTTACTTTATTTAATCGCTTGTAACCCGTTTATCTCATTCGGTGTCAAAATCCAATAATAATAATTTTTCTGCTACCGTCAACATATTTTTATTAATTTCATCATTTCAACTTCAAATCAATTTTAATGTTGTCAATATACCAAAAAAAATTTTAAATGTACACATACAATTTTTTAATGCTACCGAGTACCGACTACCGATATACATACATATTTTTGGACGATGATAAGTTTTTTTATAAAAATTTTTCAGCGTTTTCTAATAAATTTTAACGATTAAGACAAAAAAAAACGCTTGTAAATCGAAAGTTTTTTTTCTTTAATATTCTTTACACTGTCATTTTTTTTGTAATATTAAAGTAATTGCAAAATCGCGTTTTTACTCCCATTTAATAGTGAAGTTATTTTAAAAAAAAACAGCGAATTGAAATCGAAAACTTCAATTATGCTGGTTTATTTTTTTTAATTTTTTTTTTTTGTTTTTGTTGAAAGTTCAATTTTGTGCGTTTTCTTAACATCATCAAAATAAAAGAAAAATGTTTTGTTGTTTTCAAAAAATATTAATAAAGTTACACGCGTGAATGGCATACAACAAAACACAATACAAAAAAACCAAAGTTATGAATAAAAATATTGGTGTACAATAACCGCTTAAAATTTAATTATAAACAAGGTGCTTACAATAAAAATGTTCCCCTTACTAACGGTTTCCCTAACTGAAAGTTCGAAATTTTTACTATACAGTTACGCATATCCATTTCGATATATGGCTTCGTATTCTTATATAGGTATAAAATAAATATGTTATATATACATATTAATGTTCAATATTTATATTAATAGGCAAGTTATTAATTCAGTATAATATACCCATATTCTCCGTACTCCGTACAGTACATTTTATGTTCAGTCATACACTGCTTTGAAATTTCATATTAATCGGCATCCTTGAATAGGTGCGTTAATCATTTGATTTTTTCTGATATAACAAAATAATTGTTGCTTATTCTTATATTCATATTGTGAGCGTGAACTGCTATAATATTAAAAATACGCCGCCTTTTAATTCAAAATTACTTCTGAAGCACCTTATAACCACTTTATACAAGTATTTCGAAGCAATGAATAAAATTAAACGGTTACAAACATTTTAAACATCTGGAATTCATTTATAGTAAAGTGACAAAATATTTTTTATTGTTTTATTCATACTGAGATAAGTACTGTTATTAGGGGAGAGTTTTCTTAATTAAAATCATATTGTCAATTTGTCTGTTAGTTACCTGGCGCGTATATTTTGAAATAATAAAATTACATTTTTCAAAATATTTCATAAAATCGTGTAACTATATGAAATCAATGTAATTTTGTATGCGTATTCAGCAAGATATACGGATTTCCTTAGCTAATTAAAAATTTAAATGCATATTTTGATTACATAGCGTTTTCTAGTACGCATTATAACCAAAATTTATTTATTGGTACGAGTATAAATGAAGTATAAGTTGCAATTTTTGTATTTCATTTATTTACTTGCATGCTAAAAATACTACACACTGAATAATAAAGTCTAAATAGAGTTATATTGGCAATTTACCAATAAATTTTTTGCATAAATTAATAGAAAACATAATTTGTATATCAACGAACCAAATTAATATTATGCAGACGCCTAAATAATTTAATAACACACCTAAAAATATAAGTGATTTATAATTAAAAAAAAGTGAACTACTTAAATGTAGACACATTCTAAATATTTCATTATTGGCGCTAAAATAAAAGTTAGAATTTTATATTATGCTTGTTATCATAGGGCGATGCGTTAAAAGTAGATAAAAGAGTTGTTTTTTGGTGATAAGAGTTACTTCTTTAACATTCACTTCTTTAAGTACGATGTATAGTACGATTGAGATATGGATATCGGTTATAACAAATTTAAATATTTGGAAGTAACCACCATTCTTCCCAAATAACAACGGTCTTGCTGTACTCCTTGACCAACCA